AGTGATTGTTTTTAATTGCACAGGGGTCTTACCACATTAAAATGCTAAGTGGTTCGCTTTGAAATAGTATTTCACCAGTTGTAAAATGTTAACACAGTTGAAAAAAAGTATAAAAATTGAGCAATAATTACTCATTGGCTCTAAAAAAAACTTGAATGACTCATTAAAATGAGGAAAATCTGTATGTCATTTGAACTGATTACTCCTTTTTAAAATAGGAGCCAGTAACACAGCAGATACCTTATTCCAAGAAGTGCTGGGTCGCAAGGACAAAGCTGATTCAACGAGAAATGCACTTAATGTTCTTCAGCGTTTTAAATTTCTTTTCAACCTTCCCCTGAATATTGAAAGAAATATCCAGAAGGTATAATCCTTTAAAAATACTTTTCTATTTGCTGAAAATAGTCTGTTACCTTTTTCTTGACAAATATAAATGTTGTTTGTTTGTATGTGTTTTTCTTTTTTTAAAGGGCGATTATGATGTGGTTATTAATGACTACGAAAAAGCCAAGTCACTCTTTGGAAAGACAGAGGTTCAAGTGTTCAAAAAATGTAAGATACGGGTTCTGGTTTTTGCTGTGTTGGTTTTTTTTTTTTTTTTTTTTAAAATTAAAGGACATTTTTTTTTTTAAACTTAAAGGCTAAAAAGCACATAGTAGTCTAAAGAGCTTTATGTGGGTTTTACATGGATTTTAATCCATAAAAATTATGGATTGTAGGAACCAATTACTCTAAGCAATATTTCTGGCAAGTTTTCTGAGGGAGGTATATACTACAAAATATGAAATCACAGCCAATTTTATTTATTTATTAAGGCTTGGTATTAGCAGACGTTAAAAAAAAAAGTTACAGTAATTAAAATGTGACTTCGGGTATTTCTCACTGGCATATTGTTGGAAAGATTTAAAAGTCCAGCTTTCTGTTTTTGTAGAACTGTCATATACAAAATTTTCAGATGTGGCTTGCTATAAAGTGAGTTATATTGATTTCCACATTAACTCCAGAAGTGTCTGATGTCTTAGAAAAATAACATAATTTTCAGTTCCTTCCACTGCTGAAGGCTCACATTAGATTTATTTCCTCTCCCTACTCTTAGATTATGCTGAAGTTGAAACCAGAATTGAAGCTTTAAGAAAACTTCTGTTGGATAAGCTGCTTGAAACTCCGTCAACATTGCATGATCAGAAACGTTATATAAGGTAATTGTTTGACTAGTGTCTTCATCAGACAGAGAGTGTTAAATGTGTATTTAAATCTGTTTCCTAAAGAGGGTAGTGACTATTCTTACTATGGTTTAAATGCCAATTTTAAAGCTGTAAGTAGAGTATTTTGAGATTTTCTGATTATATAAATAAAGGCAATGGATTGGTTCTTGATTGTTTATTGAAAGATTGAAAAACAGTTCTTGAATGAGAACAATTTAACGAAGGATAATTGAGATTGAATTTAATTTTTAGTCTTTAAGGCATGTTTAGATTTTGTTGGTTCCTCTAAACCATCATATTGCAAGCTGTGTCTGAAATGATCACTCACAGGTTGCAGATCTCAAAATAGATTCCTTATTAACTTGTCTTACATTTCAGCTTGACTTGGTGTTGAAATGGAATCATCCTGAGTCAGATAATAGGGAGGTTTTAATCCAGACTGTCATTTAAATTTGGGTTTGGGTCTTTTATTTCTCAGTCTAAATAATGTAGTTCCTTTATATTTCATGAACATGAACCATTTCCCCAGTTTTCATTGGAATTCTGAGATTTTTCTCTTATTCACAAAGCTGTTGTAGGCATACTGACATGAGTTGGTTGGACCTTCTGCTGGTAGACCTTAACCTCCTTTACAGTCCTTGGAGCCAAACTTGAGAGTGCTCTGGAACATGTGATGGCTTTACTTAGAAAGCTTTTGAGTTTTGGATGTAACTAGGGCTCCTAGTGTGGCTTGACATTCTCAGTGCTTTTTTCAGTTATCTTCTAAGATGTAGACCAAATGCGCTGTGTGAGAAGCATTCTTAAAATTCTGACACCTGCGTGAGGTCTTCAGTGTTTTGTGTGTGCTCACCAGGCCCAGTTGCACAGGGACAAAGTGCAGTATTGGTATCTTAGGTCCCTTTACATTACGTTAGTTTGAGGACAACAACCGGTGTATATCTATGTAGAGTGCTTCTCGTTCTTCTGGGTGCTATATAAATATTGCCTATTTATTGGAATTGCCTTTTAAGGCAAGTAGTTAAGCATTTTATGTCTCTGAGAAAGGTACTACTGTTTCCTTTTTATGTCAGTCTTGAAAACCTTAAAAGAGTAGCTTCTTTATCTAAGCCAAGACTCAAGACCTCTTCTAGGGATTCTTTGGAAGAATCAGAGCTGTATATGTGTTTGATTCTGGGTTGTTTTTCTGGTTTTGTTTTTTTGGGCGTTTTTTGGGGTTGTTTTTTTTTTTCAGTTTTTCTCTAGCCCCTTACCTTGAAGTATTGACTCTTTCAAAATATCCAAGCCTACATTAAAGCAGACCGTGCTAATGTAGCTACCAAATGTATTCCACGTGTAGAACATTATAATGAAGGAGAGCAGGGAGCAGACAAATGTGGAATAATTTAGTTCTAATGAATTAACAGAATCCCAGCATTCAAAGCAATTAAATTAGTTTCACTACTCTAGATACACTAATGTGGTTATACTAGTGTAAATTTTCTGGAGGCAAGGTGTGAAGAAAGCTTTCTTCAGAGCACTTCAGCTAAGAGGAAATTAACAAAATCCTAATTGTAAAATTATTTGCATAGAACCTGCTATTTTATGAGGTTTTTTTCTTCCTTGATAAGTTTGTTTTGTATGTCTCCAATGTCTAAGGCTGAGCAAGACCTGAAATACTGTGGTTTTCCCCTCAGATATTCAATGTTTATCTTTATAATTAGGCTTCAATTCATACTTTCCTTTCATTTTATTATGGTATTTACACTGATAATTATTTTACACTGTTCAGAAACAGTTTACCATATCACTTAAGAGCCAAGTAGGTGTATTTTTTCTAAGACCTGTGGTAACTTTTTTATTTTGTGTCTAAGCAAAGAGTAAAGTCCCCCTTAACACTGAGGAAGGACTTGAGCTCATAATTTATAAATGTCACCCTGTCAGAATGGTTGGTTGCGTAATGTTCTCATCCATCCAGCCAGCCCTACTTTGACAGTTTATTTTTTGTTCAAGTACTGCAGACAGTTCTCAAGGACGACAGAATTTTGCAACACAGTCCTAATTAACGTTAGGTATTATTGTAGTAAAACAGCTTTTGTGAAGGAGTTAAACATTCCCTGCACTGCTTAAGATAATAAATTGGTGTACTTCACCTTGAGCATCTTGAATTTTTGAATCTGTCTTGAGTCTCATTAATGCAGAATGTAATGGAGCACATTAAATAGTAGAGCAGCTACTGCTTTTTGAAAATAATCTTTTGAAAGTACTGTTGTCAGTCTTGAATGCGACGTGTTAGACTATATTGCTTCTGTGTTGTCTTTAAAGTCACAACAGTGGGCTTCTAATACTCCTCTCTCCCCAGAAACAGAGGGTGTTTTGCTTCTGCGTATTAGAAGCCTCAATCCTTTTCATTATCTCTCCCCCACACTTTTTTTTCAGACTGTGTGTGCACATTCTAATCAACCCCCACACGCCTCCTCCGACCCCCCTCAAAAAAAAAAAACAAAATAACCAGGAGCTTGGTTTACATTTGTTTGTGCATGCGTGTGCTAAAATTAATGGGCCGCCAAAAATTAATTCCTTCTGTACTTACTTGTTAAGGTTACATGATGTTACAATCAGGACATATAAAGTGGGAAGAAAAATACCATATTTTATGTGCTTGAGTTGTCATCACTGATTCCAAATGAAACATGAAATGCTGAACTACAGCCTTGGCAGATAAAGAGCTTGGTTTCCCAAGTACTTTACTAGAGGCATAACTGAAAATACATATTAATGTGATATTAAATACATGTTTTTGTTTGTTCTACAAGTTTTTAATGGAATTTTACTTCACTAAATGAGGAAGGGAGAATGCAAAGTTTGTGGTTGCAATGGATATGAGTGTATCTTAACAACTGTTCTTGAATTTTTAAAATTGTGTCAAAAAAAAAAAGAGTACTAGTACATTTTTGGTCTGTTTTAATGAGGCCTTCAGTGTGTCAAGTCAGAGCTGTGATTTTTGGACTGGGTTTTACAGATATCTTTCTGATCTTCATGCGCCTGGGGACCCTGCTTGGCAGTGCATTGGTGCTCAACATCAGTGGATTCTGCAGCTCATGCACAACTGTAAGGAGAGCTATGTTAAAGAACAAAAAGGCAAGGATATATTTTTGTTTTATATATATATTTGACACTTAGGAATTTGGCATTGCCTTTTATTTGACAAGTTTCAGTGTACAAATGATATTTGAGTTTTTTCCCCTCATCATTTTGATAGCTTTTTACAAAGTTGAATGCTGACTTGTATTTTTTTTTTCTTTATTCTATTATAACAACAAAACAGCAGTTGGAGTGTTCTTTTTGTTTAACTTACAACTTTTAAGCTCTTTACATGGGAAAAGCATTAAATTTTCATCATTTATCTGAAGTTCACTGTCCTCTTGAAATAATGCTTTGCGGTCACATGAAGTTTGGATTGTCTGAATCTGCCAATTTGTCACGAGATATGCCGTTAGTATATGGATATGCAGGGCATTGGGGCATAGTGGAATAATGTGTAATTTCTTGATACTCGGTGAATGATAATATGGTGTTCTCTTGTTCCTTGTTCATGTGCAGTTTCAAAATTCAGATTACACTGTTCAGGCACAGACCTGTGAGTTGGACAAATAAGATATTTAGACAATATTATATTAAGACCAATATGAATACTTAAGTGTATTCTGTCTTTGTCTTTTCCAGTGTTGCTCCTCAAAGAAATGTGTTCTCATAGGTATTGCTTTCAGGTGTGGCAGCAACTTAGCTACCAGTTAACATGATCTATCACATTAGCATATTTTCACAAGGGAATAGGTGGGAGGCTACTGGCCTGGCATTTCTAGTAGTAAAATCTGAAAACTGGATTTTTAAATTAGAAAATTACAAGTAGTACCTTGTTTCTCAAGAAGTCTTACCGAGTTTGCTGCTATTTCTGAAATGAGTAGGCATATTGGAATCTGGCCTCTCTTGGCTTATAGGTGACTCCTATGTTTAGTGTTAGTGCATGTGTATCCCAAACCAAATAACATGCTCTCTTCTGAGAAACCACAAAAATTTTACTGAGTTGGAACTGCTGCAGAAGTGTGCTCTAAAATAGCTGCAGGAGGCTTAAACTTTCTTTAGCAGAGGTTATGACATCAGGTATAGAGTTCACAGAGTGCCTGCCCATGACAGTGATGTCAGTAAGTTTTAGCTTAAAGCATGCACAGACCATCTTTGTTCCACAACTTGGTGTGGAGTGCTGTGGGACCAGCTGGAACACCAGGTTGATTTCTCAGCCTTTTGGTCAAAATTCAGAACACTTCCAAAACCTCCTCATCTTCCTTCCTCGTCATAATCCTGACACACCACCCTCCACCCCCGCCCATACAGCTGTCAGGAGCAAAACTCACTTGTAAAAACGGCCACGGTTAACAATTCTAAGGTTTCTTTTTCTCTGCTCACTTGCAAAATGTTATATAGCAATCTTTCTGTGTCTTAGCAAGAAAAATAGGGGCATGAAGATACTAAGTGCTCAAGACTTTTTTTGTTGTAGTAGTCTATATAATTTTGTTATGCAGGCTTCAGTAAATGAATAGAATGTGTGTCTAAATTCCTAGGCTTGTCTTGAAAATCTCAACCTGTTTGGTGTTTTTCTTGTAACAAATCTGCTTACCTCAGCCTTAGTATCAAAGGAGCTTTTATGTTAGCGGCTTTGGCTCACAGAAGAGGCAATTTAAATAATTTGAATGCCCAGTAAGTGCATGTATGGATGGTTAACACTTAGTGCATATATGAAACAAATGCTAATATATTACCACTTTTAATAAAGAAATTTCATAAAATTTCAATAGTTTTCTTCCAGCCTTTTATGTGGTCCTTACTAATGTAGCTTTTGTACAGATTGTAAAATACTCAAGAATTGATCCTCGTTGATGGAATTTCTCACTTAGTATCTAGTATGACAAAGGAAGGTTGCTAAACATGGTTTTTCCTTTCCATAGATCTTTAATTTTGGCATACACCAGACAGGAGAAGGAAAAAAGAAAACTTGGAAGAATTGGTATTAAGTGCCAAGTAGAACAATGCTGATTGTGATCGGAGACATGGAGTGTATTTTCACCTACTTTAATAGATGTATGCTTTTCACACAGGAAAAGTGTGGGCTTTTACTCATAGATATCAAATTGGTTAGGTTATGCAAGACTTGAGGAATCTAATCAACTTAAAGTAGTCAGAAATGTGGTTTATATGTTCATAAATTCACAGGCTATTTTTAGGAGAAAATATTAATAAATTTTCAAACATTAAAGTTGTCCATGTAAAACTTGCTTCCAAAAAAGATTATTTTGTATATCAAGCATTTGGAGGCAGAGAGGTTGATATGCTAATGAAAATGGCATTAAAGCTTTTTCTAGGTTTCACTTTTCAACAGGGGTAATAGACATTGTTTTGAGCAGATGGTAGTCCTCATATTGCAGATGCTGGAATAAGTAGACAGCAATTACAGTTCCACCTTGAACATACCAACAATTTCTTGCTATTCTTAGCTTAGTTCTTCTGCTGACTGTGAATCTGTGGGTTCAAACTGACTGAGTCAAAACTTTTCAGCATAGTAAACTTAAACCTCAGTAGCAGATATTATCTATTTTAGCATTTGTGCACAACTTTTCAAGTTTCAACTGAGTTTGTGCCAAAGCATTTTGCTGCTGTTTTATTAGTTTTCAGTGCAGAGCTGTGCCCTGAGTTGTTACACATGAATTTTACTACCCAAAATAGATTTGGAATTAGACAAAAGCCTTTGCTTTTCTTACCTGGAAAAGTCTTTGTTGAAAACTCTGTTAGACATTCTGGACAGGATTTTTGTAGCTGATTGTCAAACAGTAAATGTTATCAAAGAATTTATTTGCTGGACATGATGTTTTCAGGAAGGGATTAACATTGTAATTATTTGCTAAACAAGCTAAAACCCAAACCTAAGTGAATTCTAAGGAGAACAGACTCCAAATTCAGTCACTGATATGACAAGCCAATAGTGTACTCAGTGGGACAAAGTTGTTCTAGTTGTCTCCATACTGCTAGGAGGTTTACTCTTTTAGTCATTACAACTGAAAAAATTTCATTTTCTTATATAGAAATAGCATCTTCTCCTGTCTTCTTTAAAAGATTTAGTGACATATCATCTCATCCAGGCCGCTAGTAATGGCAGTCAGGACAAATCCCCAATATTAAGAAGTAAATCTACTTTTCTATCTTCTATCTGGTTTCTTTATCTTTGATAATTGTTCTCTCGTTAATAACTGTATTTTTCAAGGCTCTCCTAAGCATAGTTGAAGAGTGGAGTGAGCTAATGTACGTGCTGAGGTGGCTGAAAGTGCTATCAGAAAATTGCATAATAGAGATGTATTTAAATAAATGTTTATTTTGGTTTTATATCGAAGTATGTATTTTTGATCTAAATGTGAATCCTTCATTCTCAGTAGTACTATCACATGAAAAGTTTTGGGTGTGTTGTTTTTTTTTTTTTTTTTAAAAAAAAGCCTCTGTGCTTGGATATTACTAGAAATTAACTCAATTTTGTAGAAATACTCTGCAGTTGTAAGCAAGTCCTGGAACTGTAAAGTATCATAGCATAGCACGATCTCTGATGCAGCCTGCAAGAAGAAACTGGCAAATTTACAGGGCTATAACGGTCTTTGAGTTCGCTCCTGGAATTTGTTTCAGAGGTTAGCAGAAGTCCTATGTATTTCAAATAATGTTTGTTTTCAGTTATTCCAACTGGTGTTAATATTATTTCCAAAAACTGAAAGGTATATCAAGCTGTGCTAAGCTTGGTCAGATAACTTGGCAGTGTGGCTTAAGGCCTGACAACTACCAACTATTCAATTGGATGTTTCCTTTGATTTTAATAGACAATTATTAATCATAAAAGATGCAGTAATCTGATCATTAGCTAATTGGTTGCATTTATTTCAACAGGTACAAGTAGGATGGGGAATTTTCTCAGGTCCTGTGTATGAAGTACTTTACAGCAGCATTTTGGAATGTATTTCCCTTGAGGAATATCTCTGTATGTGTATTAACGTACTGGTTCCCCTCAGTCTTAAATAACCCTGTTAGTTTGCTGATTAGCCTTGAATTAGGTAGATTAATGTTTCATTACATGCTCAGATATGGCTGTTCTTACTCACCCATCATTTCCTTTAGCCTACTATCTCTTGCTCTGTATAGCCATAGCAGACCTTCCTCATTTGTGAGGTAAAAAAAAAAAATGCAGACAGATGATGTTCATGTTATAAGAAAATGTTGGAAACCAAGCCCACATTTTTTAACGAGTGAGTGAATATGCATATATGACAGCAGATCAGAACTTCTCCTGCTCTGAAGTACTCTGAAGCATGAGCAGCCAGGACAAAGAGACCAAAGAGCATAGCCAAAGTCATAGTGGAAGCATGAGGCAGTACAGGGGATGCCCAAATCATAAAGTTCCTGGGCTCGTGTACGTTAAACCGTTCTCCTGCTTCTCTGATGGTCAGATTCTTCCATTAAAGGTGCAGCTGTAGATACAGGACCCACATGGAGCTCTAGCTCTGCTGAGGTAGTAATCATAGAATCATAGAATCGTTTAGGTTGGAAAAGACCTTTAAGATCATCCAGTCCAACCATTAACCTAACATTACCAAGTCCAGCACTAAACCAATTAAGGGTAGAGTAGCAATTTCATGTTTCCTGGCTTGGTGGCTGGATTATTTATAATGAAAGTAAAAACTAGGAATCATTAAGGTTAGAAAGGATCAGTCCAATCATCAATGCTTGTAAATATATGGATTTATTAACTTTTAATGTTTTCTTTGTAATGTTTATCTGCCTTACTAATGGAATAGGCAGTTGTTCTCTTTTATTGGTTTTTTGAAACCTTTTTTTTAATGGTTATGAAGCTATTTCCTGAAGCACTGGTGGATTCCTTTTATAAATCTGATGGCATCCCACTATTGCTGCCCACTGGAAGGACCTGAAGTAGGTAAAGCTAGTTCGTTGCTGTTACTTAGTATGTAGATATGTTAGAGAGAGGGAGATGCATGAGACTGAATAGACAGGAAAAAGAGCATTTTTGAAGGCTATGAATATAAAGCTTAGCA